GCTGTTCTCAGTGGTGGCAGGTGGCAGAACAAGGAGCAATGGTCTCAAGTTGCAGTGGGAGAGGTCCAGGTTGGATATTAGGAAAAACTATTTCCCTAGGAGGGTGGTGAAGCACTGGAATGGGTTACCTAGGGAAGTAGTGGAGTCTCCATCCCCAGAGGGGTTTAAGTCTCGGCTTGACAAAGCCCTGGCCGGGTTGACTTAATTGGGGTTGGTCCTGCCTTGGGCAGGGGGCTGGACTTTATGGCCTTCTGAGGTCTCTTCCAGCTCTTTGATTCTATGAAATCTCGATTCTGCTGCCAGCACCTCAGCAGACTGACAGACAGAATGTCACAGCGCCTCTGTGACTGACAATGTCACCTCTCTGCCTCCGTGTCCTTTCTCTCTGAGGTCGGGATGTTGAAAGGGTTGTTGATGAAGTACTCTTGGGTGGCAGGAGCTGTCCACGTGCGGTGAATTCTGAGGTATTCTACTAAGTACTGCAGAGATCACTTCAGAACTACCGAAGCCCGGCCACCTTGATGGATTTTGGCAAATGCATTGCTGCTGCAGAGCTAATTGTCAGGGGATTTGGTGGGGCAGGTGCATTGTCTAGTTGAAGTTCTGGCTGTGATACTTTATCCTCCTCTGGTCTTGGGTAACTCGAGTATAACTAAGGGATTGAAAAACCACTACAGGCCAGAGGCCCATATCATTTGGGGCACTATCAGCAGTGGCCTGTTGTGATGCCTTAGAGAGAAACCCAGTGACCCAAATCCCAACTGTTCCAAAAGGCCGGAGTTGCTGATCTTGGCTACTGCTCAGAGGCTGCATCATTTGTCACTAGTTTCATCTGTGTGTGATTGAACTGGGCTGTTGGAAGAGAGAACTTGCTTCCTCACGTGAGAGCGCCTCCTGGCTGCTCAGGTGGCTTCTGCCCTTCTTTAGTCTCCATTTGTAATTGATTCTTGCCCCTGTATGCCTCCCAGGCCTCTATCTGCTGCTGATCATAGCTGTCTCCAGCGGCGGGTATGACCATATTGTCAGTTTCACAGCTGCTCTTGAATTGCAGGACTGAAATTGCCCAGAGTAGTCTTGATTTCATGCTATGGTTCCTTGAGAGAAATAGCCAGGGCCATGTTCACACCTGCGGATTTCTTCATAACCATGAGATCTAGATGCTGTTTTCTGCTGTTGGGGAGTTCGTTCTCACTGGCTCTGACAGGATGACACTGTGCTGTTTGTGCCCTCAAATGCTGTTTGCATCAGTATAAGTAGAGTGTAAATCAAAGGGTCACCCCTCAGCGGTGGGCTTGCCTGTGGGAACAAGTGCATCGTGCTCTCGAGGAGAGGTGCCCTTATCGCAGCAGTGAGGATGACCCGTTTTGGTTCTGACACTACTAGAGCCTTTCGTTAGAGGTTTTAAATCCACATAATACACAGGAACCGGGATGGCTGCTCACGAGACACTTAGTGATTAATATTAAAGTAGCTTGTTCTAAACAGCCCTTTCATCTCCCTTCTCGTCACGTTCCCATGCGGTTCTAACCGCCGACTGATACACACGCCTTCGGCTTGGGTCCCACGAGCCCTCGTTTTACAGGCGCCACATGGCCTTAGGTGGGACGTGCAGTGAGCTGTACCTCATGCGGGGCTGCTTTATGTGTACGATCTGAGGGCAGTGTTGGCTGGAATGTGTAGCCGGAGATCGTGTGTCGGAGCTGCCTATGCTGTGAAATGCTCTGCCTCGGAGGCCACTGACTTAAACCCACACCTCATGGTCTATGACAGATAACTGATATTTGCCCAGGCTAAATGAATCTTGTATAGTAAAACTCACCTTATTGGCCTAAATGGTGCTGAGAGTCGGTACTAACGTCTTCCCATTTTTGTTTTGGTCTCTGCTGCGTATAGAACGGTAATTGAGTTGTTTGAGTTGAACCCTCTTCTCCCATTCTGTCAGGGAGAAGGTGTTAAAATGTCCTTTTGTTTCCCTAAGGTCGACCTGTGCTTAGAGTGTATTGAATGGGCCAAATCGGAGAAGAGGACTTTCCTACGCCAGGCCCTAGAGGTATGATGTCTGGTTGATGTAATGGTGTAACCGTTTAAATCAGGCATGTCCAAAGTCCGGCCCGGGGGCCAATTGCGGCCCGTGTTCCGGTTTAATACGGCCCCACAGGTAATTTGGCAATATCTATCTTTTATGGCCCCCAACGAATCCATATGTATTGAGATGAATACATTGTAAAATCTCAGTTAATGTCAGTTGGTCTAAATCAGTTATAAATATATTTGGACACAACATGTATACTTGGTGTTATGTTCCTGTTCATAATTTTTTAACTTAAAAGTTGACAGACAACCTTTATTACCAATAATATGTAATGTACTTTACAATGTTCCTGACATATATTTCAGCTTCCTGGATTTTTTTTCATCTGGCCTTCAGATATGAAAGGCAGAGTGATTTAACACCTGTTTAGATTTGTCATCCATGTGACGAAATGAAAAGTATGCCGTTTGCAATAAACTTTGCATAAAATAGTTAATTTACATTTAATTTTAATGGTTCAAAGAATGTCAGGCAAAATGGTCGGCCCTCACGCATGTTCACTTCATCAAATCTGGCCCTCTTTGAAAAAAGTTTGGGCACCCCTGGTTTAAATGGTCACCAGAATGGTGATCCGCTGGCTCCCAGCCCCGCTTCCTGGGAGTGGGGCTGGAAGCCAGGAGCCGGCTGCCATCCCATGCTGCTGGCTCTGAATGGGTTCATCTACCCAGCACCCTTACCCTGAAATAAAGCATTCTAGCAAAACGTCCGTTCTCCCTCGTGCAATGAGGTTTGCAGGGCTATTGGAATAGCAGGCCTGTTACATTGCGATATAACGGGCTGGTTCTTAAGATGCAGAATAGCTATTTCAGGATACTGGAGGTCTCCCGAAATAGCTCCGCAGTGTAGACCAGGGCTACTCAACACGCGGCCCATTTGTTTGGGTTCACGTGGGGTGCAACACGTGGCCTGGGGGTAGAATCCACTGGGAACACGCCCCACAGCGGCGAAGCATCTCCTTGGCTTCTTAAGATGCAGAATAGCTATTTCAGGATACTGGAGGTCTCCCGAAATAGCTCCGCAGTGTAGACCAGGGCTACTCAACACGCGGCCCATTTGTTTGGGTTCACGTGGGGTGCAACACGTGGCCTGGGGGTAGAATCCACTGGGAACACGCCCCACAGCGGCGAAGCATCTCCTTGGCGGGGTGAGCACTGAGAGATGCAAGTGGATGGGCTGGCGGGAACAGACAGGTATGGGGGCCGGTGTTTCTAGCCCCCAGGGAGGAGGTGCCGGGAGTGCTGGGGCATTGTGGGAAGTGCTGGCTGCTTAGCCTTGTGGGCGGAGCCTGAGAGGTGCTGAGTGGCTCTCACTGGCCACGTTTGGGTCCGGTGCTGTGGCTTGAGGCTTAATCTTTGTATTCATGCCCATCAGTGTGAAGGAAGCTGTTTGCATATATTTGCATATATATTTGCATGTATATACCACCGCACTTAAGTTCCGGCCCTCGGCATGTGCTGTGAGTATCACAGTGGGCCTCAGGACTTCCAAAGTTAAGTAGCCCTGGAGTAGACGTAGCCTATCAGAGGCAGCAGCGCAGGGTGGCAGCTGGCCCCTGGGCACGCACTGGTCCCTGGGCAGCCAGCTACCACCCTACATCCAGGCCCTGCACTATAAAGCTTGTACTGCAGAACCCCCAGCGTGGAACCCGCAAAGATTGTTTCCAGCAGTTACATGATTGTCTAATGAACCCCTTTTTAACACCCCCAGGCTGGATCTTCCACTGGACTCCTTGCTGTGTGGCCCAGAGCTGCACAAGCGACCAGGCAGCAGGATTATTCTAAGTTTTGTTGCCCTTTGTGGGGCGGCTTGGTCAGAGACTTGCCTTGGGGGAGGGTTTTCTGCCCGTTGCATTTAGATCCAGCCGTTTCCAAGCAGTGTTTGGACCGAGTGCAAACTAATGAGAACAGCAAGTTTCATTTTGCAAAATCCTGCTGCTTCCTCTGGTTCCTCAGCAATTTTTCTCTCTTCTCCAGGCTAGGCTGGTGTCTTTGTACTTCGATACAAAGAGGTACCAAGAAGCGCTGCAGCTCGGTAAGTCGCCACAAGGTGGCAGTAGTTCCCTGCTTCCAAAATAAACCTGAGGCTTACGCAGGGAATGAAGTTGTATTATGTACAAGGACGTTTTGACGTGTTTAGTAGGGACCCACATACTCTGCTCTGTGCTGTATCAAATTTGCCATCTGAACTAGTCTTCTGTCTGTACTGCAAACTACTCTAGTTCTTTCATATCCGTGTTTGAGCCAAGACTGCTGTACTCTTCATTCAAACTGTTATGCATCCCCCCCCCCCGAACCACAGAATGTGGACACGAACCCCCGGATCAGTGGTTCTCAACCCAGGGGCCCCACGCGGCCCAATTAGCACAAAGAGCTGCAGCTCTGCTCAGCTGTATGTAAAGACCTGCCAGGTTCTCAGCCGCCTGGCATGGAGGGGTCTGGGTATGCGGCCCACGTTGTGTAATGAGTCGAGAACCACTGCCCTGTATCTTGGAGGACTCAAGCCATGTCTCAAAAGCAGGATGGTTCAGGGGATGGGCCTGTTGTCCACGCTGATCTTGATTTGCTCCTGCTGCCCAAATGAAGAGTTACAGATGCTGCTGTTCATGTCTCTTGCCAGGATCTCAGCTCTTGCGGGAGTTGAAAAAGATGGATGACAAGGCTCTGCTGGTTGAAGTGCAGCTGTTAGAAAGCAAGACGTACCACGCCCTGAGCAATCTGCCAAAAGCACGAGCAGCTTTAACCTCAGCACGAACTACAGCCAATGCAATCTACTGCCCACCCAAACTGCAGGCAGCCCTGGACATGCAGTCAGGTAACGCTGTCCCAGCCCTAAGCCTCCCATGCTGCAACCGAGGCCCTTACGCAATGGGCTTAACTTGCACACAATCTACTAGCTCGGGGCCCCTTAAGCTCTAGTGTCTTTCTCCTCAGTCGGGGGTTTCTCACTTGTGTGCGGCCTCCAACTGATTGTTCTTGGGTCAGCAGCCCCCACCCCAGTGTAGATGGTGCTTGGTCCTGCCGTGAGGGCAGGGGACTGGACTCGATGCCCTCCTACTAGTCTGTGAATAGAAGGGGAGGTCCAGCGGCAGTAAGCTGTGATATGGCTCCTCTGTCCACACTATCACTGTGTTCCAGTTGGAGGTGCTCAGAATGGATCTAGGTAACTATTCCTCAACGCTCTGCTGTACACTTGGCACGTGGAGCGGGAGACTCCTGCTTTCTTAAACCACTGGCACTGCTGCGATGTTTGTGTGAGCAGTGACCCCACGTACACGTTGAACCTGGTCATTTGACTTTTAAAACTAAATTGGGAGTTCTTTCTTTGCTCGTAAGCTTCCTGGCTGCAATTAGATCCTATTTTCAGGCTTTCCGCTGCAGCTGTAGGGTCTAGAAAGTCCTTGAATGAAAGTGTAGATTGTCACATGCTCGTAGGACTGCAGGAGCCAGAACTTCAAGAACGCCCCAGAATATCCCGGGCTTCAGAATGTCTCGCAAGTTGGCAGCAGTGAAAGGACTAGCTCTGCAGCTAGGGGGAAGAGCAAAGGATCGCTTGTTGCAGCTGCAGCTTTCCCTGTTTCAGTGGGTGGGAAATTGATGAAACAGGTTGCTCACAATCTCTGACCAGGCGAAACTCATTAAGCAAACATTGGTAATCATGAGCTTGGGAAGCTGCCTGGGACCTGCCAGTCCTGCGGTCCCATAACATGTGTCCTTTGGAGAGGCTGGTACTGTAGACGTTCTCTAAGCAGATGGAGGAGGCGCAACACACGTTTCTGCATTTCACTGCTTGTTTTATCTTGCTGGAGCCACAACTTGTGTGGGGTTTCTGGGTTTGCTGCCTAGTTGTTTGCTCTACTTGGAAGAGAATTGGGGTTTATAGGACTTCAGGGAGAAGTGAGCTTCAAGGAAAAGGCTCCCTTGCAGTCGAGTGCCACAGGCAGTGTTAACAACCACTTGATCTGCCTCCAAAACTGAGTTTGACTTCTGCCTGTTTCCCCCCTCGACAGGTATTATCCATGCCGCAGAAGAAAAGGACTGGAAAACAGCCTACTCCTATTTTTATGAGGCGTTTGAGGGATACGATTCAATCGACAGCCCCAAAGCCATCACTGCTTTGAAATACATGTTGCTGTGCAAAATCATGCTCAACACGTAGGTGGCAGGAAGAATAATTCCATTTAGACGGGACAGGGCGGGTCTATCCAGATCTCTTAACCAACTGCAGAACCGAAGCAGCCACGTTCAGCCAGCATGCTTTAAACAATCTATTCATTGTGGCTGCTGCTTTAAGATTTGAGCCTCAGTAATCTCGTAAGTGCTCCGGGGATGCTCAGCATTCTTCTTAGGAACTTTGTCCAAGACATTTAAATTTTATAATAGAATTTGAGTGAGATGATCTTGTTAAATACTTGAGGGCATGTGAGCCAGGAATTGTGTGGCTCCGATGGAGGAGGTCGCTGTGAAGCACAGAGACTTGAGTGACTGTTCTTTCCCTTCCCTCTCTCTGCAGCCCGGAGGACGTGCAGGCATTGGTGAGCGGGAAGCTCGCTTTGCGGTATGCAGGAAGGCAGGTATGGAAATCTCTCCCTTTTCCTCCCTTGCGTCTCTTGGATAAAACAAGCTGATCACGGGACAGAATTATGTTGATACTTGAAACTTGTTACCTAGTCTGTTTGCAAGCACACAAGTAGTAACATTTCAGATTAACATCCCATAGCGCTTATGACTGGCCAGTGGGGCCGTCAGCCACCGCGGGGGGGGGGGAATGAGGGTGGTTGGACTGCAGTGCACCCCCCCAAAATCCCTCCGAGCTGCAGCAGTTCAAAGGGGCTGAGGCTCCCTACGGGGCAGTGTGCTGCTGCCTCTCCCCTCCCCCCGCCTCCCATCGGCAGGCTTGGGGTTGGCTCAACATTGGTAAAGTCCATACAACTCCATTGATTTTGATGGGAAGACACAGATTTACCTCAGCGGAGTCTCCAGGCCTTTGTTAGTTTAGTTAGCTCCGTGTTTCTCATCCTGGCTTTCCCCACTGGCTTGGGCTGCTGCTAACTTCCATTGCAGGATCAGGCCTCGAGGGTACTCGGCTCGTGGACGTAGCTGCTTGGAGGCTGGGGCCTAGCGTAGGTGTGGGAATCGTGTAACGTTGGCTTGGCTTGGCTCGCTTTGAAAACCCCTCTTCACATGGAGATAGCTGAGCAGGTCTTGAGAGAATCCGTGTCGGGGAGCCTAGCATCTTAGGCAAACAGGGCTGTTTCTGGAAACCGCTTGCAATTTCAAAGCAAGTGATCTCCGTGCTCTGGCTTAGACTTAGCACAACGAACCCCTCTGTGCTACATGAGGGTGATCTTGCAATAACAAACCAGCTCGTTTTAATGAGGTGTTGGCTGAACATGGGCCGAAGCCAGGAAGTAGTAAAGAGTGATTCAGCCTTCACTGTTGATGCCTTCTGTGGCCTGGATTGTGCAGATTTTCTAGTTCATTTTCCCCGTCTGTGAAAGGAAACTAAAGCATGGGGGGTTATGAGGGCTAGCTAATAAAAGGATTGTGGTAAGGATTAAGATGGAGTACCTTCCAGGGAGGATAGAGGAGTGAATGGATGACGTGTCATGTGTCTTCCATATTGCTAAATAAGCCCTAGTCTTCAGAAATCACTTCCTTGCCTCAGAGGGGTGTTATCTCCGTTCAATGATGGGGAAATGAATTGCCCAAGGTCACACTCTTAGCTAGCAGAAGATGTGAGAACACAGTCCCGTGACTCCACCTCCCAACCACTGCCCTAACCACTAGACCACACAGTGACTCCCGACATGCAAGCTTGACAGAAAATGTAGCCTCTTGCTGCTGTTGCAGACATGACAGAGCTTCAGTCTTTTTTAGCATGAAGCTGTTCTGATACTGGCAACTGCTGGGTTTTCCCTCCTTCTGCGGTCAGCTGATGATCTTGTTCTGTGTGTCTGGAAGGAAACTGAGCCGAGGCTTGGTTGCAAAGGGCCTACTAAGAACTTTTTCTATGTCCCGTGCGGCATCACGCTTTTTTCAGATGCCGAATACTAACACCTGCTCCGTTTTTCTCTGCAGACAGAAGCCCTCAAGTGTGTGGCACAAGCCAGTAAGAATCGCTCGCTGGCAGACTTTGAGAAGGTGAGTGACCAGGGCGAGGCCAGATGGGGGAGGCACGGTGTGAAAAGCTGGACGTTCGGTGCTCATGGTGGAGCCAAGCAAGAGCAGGCAGACTCTTCCTGTGGTATTTGCTTGAGTTTTGACTTCCTTTGGACCGTATCCACTCTCCTAAATGGTCTGGTTCTTCCAGCCCATGTTTTGTGGGACAGAAATTGAAGCTGAAGTGTTTGCTTTAAATTGTATAGTTGATTGGAGCATTTGTGCGGTTCTGGCTCAATACCACATCATTTACATAACAACATGAATTTTGAAGCCTGAATACTCTGACCAAGCCATTTGCTCTTTACATGAAAAGGGAGGAAGTTTGGAAACACTTGAACTTTGCGTTCTGTGGAACTGACCTGCAGAAGTGCAGAGCTCACGGTGGAGCAGAACAGCCGGTTCCTGTGCGGAGGGATAGAGCAGTTGGCCTGTGCTCCCTTCTGCAGCGGAGAGAGGCACATCCTAACCTGGCCATTGTTACTCAGCAGCTGGGCGTGGAGCAGCAAGCCACTAAGTGATGGAAGTGTTTGGATGAGAACTTGTGTTCCCAGGCGATGAAGCTGACACCTGCAGACTCAAGTCACTAGTACTCCAAAAAGAGCTCTGCCTTTTCCTGAGGGAATTCTGTGCCCCAAAAATTCTGTGCACAGTACTTTAAAATGGCAATAATTTTGCATATTCTGTGTCCAAATAACACAATATTATCACCCAATTATCAATCATTTTGGTAACTTACTTTAATACTTAGCAAATACGTGTGTAACAACCCCGACAGCAAAGAGTCAGGGAACTTTTTTTGACAAACAGATTGAGTCTCCCCTAGCTGCTCCAGATGCCCTGGCAGGATATTCCCCCTGCCCACTGACTGCGATGGATACATGAATAATTTTTTCTCCATGGAGAAAGTAAAATCTGCAGAGCGCATGAATTCTGCACTTGCGCAGTGGTGCAGAAGTCCCCCAGGAGTGAATTCTGGGGCAAGTACCCTCCTCATTCCTGCATTCAGTATTGCTCTCCCGTAAGCCTGGAGAAGTGCACTGGCGCTCGAAATGCTTTCCCATCTGGGTACTTCCATTGCTTTTTTAAAAAGCAGACTTCCTGGACTGAAGCCTTTCTAAAGATTCTCCGGGAAGGAAACCAAAGTGGTGGAGAGGAGCAGGAAGCTCCCCTCTTACAGCGAGCTGCTGGGGCACTTGGTTATAGCGAATGTGACGAGAAATACTCGCCCGCAAGGTGCTCGGTGATCCTGGGGCTGAGGTGCCATGCGCAGGCCTTGGCTAAGGGAATGGGTGAGAGCAGCTAACAAGGCTGCAGGCTGCCCTGAGAGGTGTTGGACTTGGCCCAGCCAGGCTGATCTCAAGCCTTATGACTTGTCCCCAACCTGTCTCCTGCAGGCGCTGACAGATTATAAGGTGGAGCTCAGGGACGACCCCATCATCAACACTCATTTGGCTAAACTCTATGATAACTTACTGGAACAGAACCTGATCCGAGTCATCGAACCCTTTTCCAGAGTACAGGTAAGTGCGTCTCCTCCCTTCGTCCTGGCTCTTCGTCTCTTCGCTGTGTGCAGGAGGCTGCTGCGTGGCGCAAGCAGCACTGATGGGGCTCTTCCTCCCTGGGATGGGTTGGGCTGGCGCCGGAGCCCGTAAGCATCCTCTGCAGCTCGAAATGGCCGGCTGTTCAAGGCTCCGGCTCTGTGCTGTTGCCATTCCCCTCGGGAGGGGCGTGTGCACCTTGCCCGGCGCCACGGTTCCATCAGGATGGACTGGCTGGGGCAGGGAGCTGGCGACTCGGCCGTTCGGCTCGTGCACCCCGAGTTGGAATCGGGACCGTGGCCTGAGCGCTGACTGAGAGGAGGCAAAGGCGCCACCTGGGGCAGGAGTGGAGTGTGGACCCAGGCGTGGTAGTTCTGTTGTAAAGGCAAGGCTGAAGCCTGCCTCCCCGTGTCTGTGTTGCTCTTTCTCTCCCTTTGCAGATGGAGCACATATCCAGCCTCATCAAGCTCTCCAAGGTAAGGCCCTGGCTCGACCCGCGCAGGGTGGGGACACACAGGGGGTCACGCAGTCACCAGGAAATAACTCGGCGCATCAAGCTCCAGGTGCGGCAGGAGCAGCAGCGGAGCAGGCTGCTCTGGTGGGCAGCCCCCGAGGGGAGCACTCGCTTCGTCCCATCTTCCTTTGCTCCTGGGGCCCCGTCGGCTCAGCCCTGCGGCCAGGCCACGCAGCCTGCCCCTCAGGCTGTCTTCCCTGGCTCTCCCTCCCCAACCCAGGCCCGCGTGGGGCACCTTTGGCCCCAGCCAGGGACTGGGCTGCCAGGCCCTGCAGCTGCTTGGCTGCAAGAGGCCTCTTAGGGCCTTCTCTGCCCCCCGGGGGGCAGGGTTCCTGCGAGATGCAGTGTACGTGTCCCTCCCCACAAACCCTTCCACTGGCCGACCTCCACATCCGAAGGGTCCGCAGGCGCCTCCTGTAGGTGATCCCTCGCTGAATCCAGCTTAGCCCTTCGGAATCCCGGCGGGCAGCCCAGGGCACAGTGCCCATGAACCAGCTGGGCTGCCGCCGCCTAGAAGGCGCCTGGGCTGGAAAAGCTCTTAGCGACAGTGGCCGAGCCAGTTCCCCTTGGCTGGCGTTTCACAGGGGTGAGCGGCCCCGGGGCTGTCCAGAGGCCCACTGGCCACCTCCTGCCGTGCGCAAAGGGGACAGCTGGGTCGAGTCTTAGTGAAAATGCTCCTCGTGCTCCCAGGTCACAGAGCTGGCGGGGGGGGAATCTTACAGCCCTGAGTTGGCTCCCACCGTACAACCCCCTTCCGAATGGGCACTGTCTAACTCTGCCCTTGGCCGCGAGCGCCCATGGGGAGCAGAGATCCCTGCCGCGTCCGTGGGAGTTCCAGCCACATGGCAGTGAGCGGAACCGAGGGCTGGCTCCCAGAGGCCGGGCTGGCTGGGGCAGGCCATCGGGCTGGCGTGCGATGGAGCTTGGTCAAGTAGGTGATTGAGTCAAGCAGGCATGCCCCACCCTGCAACTCCTGCAGGCCCCAAGTGAAGGCTGCACGCTCTCGTGAAATGGGAAGGCAGCAGGTACAAGGAGGTTCCGGTCGCACTGCTGCCATCGTGCCTTGCCTGAAGCGCCCTGTAATATCCAGGCTGGTCTGTCTGAGAGCTGGCTGCACAGACATTGCTCGGGAGCGCGCCTCTGTCGGGCCGGGGCTGTGGGTGAAACCTTTGCTCTGCATGTAGCTTCAAGAGGTGGTTCCAATTTCAGGCCGACGTGGAAAGGAAACTCTCTCAGATGATCCTGGACAAGAAATTTCATGGTGAGTCTCTGCCCCCCCCTTGGCTGCACCGTCTCCCGCTCCTTTCTAGGGCTCTCTGAGCTGCGCGCTCCCATTGTAAGCGCGGTCCCTCCGTCTCGGAAAGCAAAGAGGCACGCGGGGAGAAAACGGGTTATGGCTGGATCCTGGCGGGCCCATGCACCTGCTGCGGTGGGAGCTCTGGCTGTTCAGTCTCCCTGATCTTGTGACGCCGTGGGAGAGCGTCCGCTGGCGCACAACATGCTCAGGGTGGCGGCTTCCGCTCGCAAGCAGAGCTCCTGGCAGCGAGCTGAGGGTCGCGCTTTCTGGCGGCCGTATGGCGGAGGGAGGGGAGCGCCCGCGCAGTCAGAAATCCTCTTTGGTTCTTCGACAGTTCATGAGACCCCAGTCCCTGTCTGTACCCCAGCAGTGTCCCCCTCCCTTATCTCCCTGTGTGTGCAGCAGGGAACAGAGGGGGCCCAGGGCCCTAGAGGCGACTGTACTTCCGCCGCTGGAGTGCAGCTGTGTCCGCCTTTCCACAGTGCCCCACCCAGAGAACCAGGCCTCCTGCCTTACTGGGCAGAAGGACCCTGGGCTAGGCCAGTGGGGCAGCCGTGCTGGCTAGAGAGCGGTGGAAGCCGACTACAGAAGGGATCGGAAATACCTCCATTGGTGAAGGGATGAAGAAGATGAGCGGTAGAGATCCCCTTGGCTGCTGGGCCCGTCCGAGCCTCCAGCCCCTGGTGCCGGTGGCTGGCGAGCCCCCAAAGTGAGATCTCTGCAGGCTGCTCTTGCGTGAAGCCAGTTTCCAAAGTGCTCCCTTCAGGTTCCCTGTGCCACATCCCCATGACTGATGGGAGCAGGTTGGAAAGAGCGTGCTGGCCGGGCCTGGGCAGTCCAGAGGCAGAGCTGAGACCCTCCTGTTCTCATGCAGTGCAGGGTAACCAGAGCTTTGTGTTCGTAGGGATCCTCGACCAGGGGGAGGGCGTCCTGATTATCTTTGACGAACCGCCCGTAGACAAAACGTATGAAGCTGCCCTGGAGACTATTCAGAACATGAGTAAAGTCGTGGACTCGCTCTACAACAAAGCCAAGAAGCTAACATAGGTGAGTGTGTGTTGGGCCAGAGAACGCAACTGCTGGGGTTCCCTTCCCGGGGCTCCGTGCCCTGGGTACGGCATGTGCCTACGTGTCTGGCTTCCTTCCCCTTGACTGACACAGGCTCTTTCCTTTGCAGAGTTGGCGCTGGGAGCTGTCCTGGGAAGTGTGTGTGTGACAGGAGAGTGAAACCTTTGGGAAAATGCTAGCAGACTTTTTTCTTTGTTCTACTTTTCGCTCGGAAAGTTTTTAAACGTCCTCATCCAGTGCATCTTGTATTCCATACGATGCGTGTTCCAGTTTCCATGTAACGTTTCCTGGCCAAACTTTGTATTGGGGGCGGGGGGCATTGTTTAAAAGAGGGATTCTGAATAAAAGGAAGAAGGCTTACACTACCTAAACGTGCTTTCCACTTCCTGAGGCAGGGGCAAGGTTTGCTCATCAATAGCAACCTGGCTGCTAAGGAAACTTTCTTCCCTCTCCTCCAAAATCCGAGACTTACTGACTGTATAAAAGCCAAGTTTTATTCCATTTGTACTGACCCAAACACCTCTTCCATACAGACGGCTGGTTTATGTTTAAATCTTACTAAGACTTTTAATCCCCCCAAAGCAACTCCAGATGGACTCCTAGAAGCCCACACAGGAGCCCATTCAGAATTGCTGCTGTGCTAAGTCAGCTCAGTGTAGAAGTAACAGCTGCAACTGACTAGATCGTTAGGCCATTTCTAACCAAGGGAACAGTGCAGGTTTCCCCGGAGGCCTGTCTCGCATGCTATTGTTTAAATGTGTTGACCCTCACTGTCCCCCGCCCCCGCATTGCTAGGAGGAACACGAGCCGGTGTCTCCCTGTGAGAGCCAAACATCCAAGCGGGAAGGCAGTCTCCTAGCATAGGCGCTGGTCCGATGTCCTCACTCACCTCTGCTCTAGAGTCGGTTTCCTTTAACACCTGATGCAAGACAAACCGGCCCCTGTGAAAGGAGCTTGCGAGGCACTTGCTAGGTAGAGGAGGTGGAGCACTGTGTTTTCCAACATGTTTCATTTTATGGTGCGTCTCCTGGCAAGGTTTTAATGCCATTTGGGCAGTGTAAGCGTCTGCATCTCTGTCATGTTGATCTTTATTTTCCTTTCCCCGTCTCCCTTTCTCTTTCCCCCTCCACGTTTTCTTACTAAATTTATATTTTGTAAAAGGGTTCTGTTTTATCAAGAGATTTTGCCTTCACACTAAATCTTAGACTGGCTGATTTTTTTTTCTGCTTTCTGTCCATGTTTTAACTTTCTCTGATTTTTTTTTTAAACTCTCCATCTCATTCAGTCAGTCACTGTTTGGGTTTTTGGCACCATCAATATCAAATGTACAAACGGTTCTTGCTAACCAACACCAGGTATATCTGATGTTCAGATGAGTTCCAATAAAGTAATTTTTTTTTCAAAACCTGTCTCCTGTCTTCGGCTGTTTAGGCAAAGAACATGGGTATTGGGTGTTTCTTTTGGCCAATGGGGAGTACAGCCTACAAAGCAAGCTGCATTGCCTTCCGAAGTGCACGACATTAGGTGACAGGAGACTGTTACTTTCTAAACACACCACCCAGGTCTGCAAAGCAGAATTCCTTTCTCTACCTGGAATTATCAACCATGATTTTTTTTAATCTTCCGGGAAAGTGCTCCAGCACCTCGCAGGTTTAAAGAAACTGAGTCGAACTTTGGAAAGCATCAGGCTGTGGTTCCAAGGGTTCTTTGAAGACCAGACGTGATCTCTCTGATCTCATGTGATCTGCATAATGCAGCACGGATTTACAGGTGAAATACTTGCATCAAGCCCATCCCATCTGGTTGAACTAGAGCATTTCTTTTAGGAAGAGACATGCAGTCTTGATTTAAAGACTTCAGCTGATGGAGGATCCACCACCTCCAGCAGTAAGTTGTCATTAGCCTAATTGTTAAAAATGTGTCTTGTCTGAATCCCAGCTTCCCATCTTTGGCTCCTGTTACACCTCCGTCTGCCTGATTCACAACTATGCTACCACTGCATCTTCTTGGGCCTGTACTTCCAAACTGTGATCAAATCCTCTTCATCTTCTCATGAATAAACTAAATAGCTTGAGGCTCCTAAGTCTCACTGAGGCAACTTTTTCTGGACTTCAGGGTCTCCAGGAATCAAAGCTCTTCGAGTGCTTGTTCATGCACAGTCCAATCAGGCGCGTGCACAGTGGCCGGAAGGCTTTTCCCCTGCAGCTAGCTGTAGGGCCAGCCTTGGCGCCCCTCAAGTGATGCCAAAATGGTGCCCAATATAAGGCCCTGCTGACCTGCCCCCTCAGTTCCTTCTTACCGCCCATGAGGTTAGCTGGAACTTCCCCATGCTCGTCTCTGGCTTCTTCAGTAGATCAGCACTTCTCTCTCTGGTTATCATAGAACCTAGAACTGGAAGGGGCCTCGCAAAGTCAAGTCCAGTCCCCTGCCCTCATGGCAGGACCAAGCGCCGTCTAGATCATCCCCGATAGATTTCTGTCCAACCTGCTCTTCAATATCTCCAGTGGGGGAGATTCCACAAACTCGCTAGGCAGTTTATTCCAGTGTTTGACTCGGACATTAGGAAAAGCTTCCTGTCAAATCTCAACCTCCCTGGCTGCAATTTAAGCCCCTTGCTTCTTGTCCTGTCCTCAGAGGCCAGGCAGAATGTTTTTCCCACCTCCTCCCTGTGACACCCTTTTAGATATTTGAAAACCGCTCTCATGTCCCCTCTTTCTTCTCTTTTCCAAACTAAACAAGCCCAGTTCTTTCAGCCTTCACTCATAGCTCACCTGTTAATGCAGCCCAGAATCACGTTTGCTTTTTTTGCAACAGTGTCGCACTGTTAACTCCTATTTAGCTCCTCTGACCCCTAGATCCCTTTCTGCAGGACTCTTTCCTAAACAGTCGCTTCCCATTCTGTGTGTGAGAAACGGATTGTTCCCTCCTAAGTGCAGCACTTTGCATTTGTCCTTATTAAACTGCATCCTGTTTACCGCAGACCACTTCTCCAGTGTGTCCAGATCAGTTTGAATGATGGCCCATCCTCCAAAGCACTCGCAACTCTCCCAGCTTGGGATCATCTGCAAACTGAAGTGTCCTCTGTGTGCCATCATGTAGCTCATGGATGAAGATATTGAACAGAACCAGTCCCAGAACAGACCCCTGCGGAACCCCCTTGTTCTGCCCTTCCAGCAGGATTGTGAACCGTTAACTGCTCTCCGGGAACGGTTCTCCAGCCGGTTGTGTCCACCTTCAATTGTAGATAGTTTAGTCATTGCTAGCTCCTAGTTAGCAGTTAGTGTGGTTGGGGGGACCCCTCCCAAATGCTCAAGCCCTTCCCGTGGCACGCCTCATTCCCCAGGGTTCGAGGCCTGCCGGTTGTGCATGCCAAGGAGTGATCCGCGAGGCTCATCAGACCAGTGCGATATCTGCAGCGAGTTCAGGCCTTGAACTCCGGACAGTGGCTCCATGGCCCCAGTCTGACCCTGCATCCAAGGTGACGCCTAGTTCGTCTTCCTCGGTGTGGAGGACACGGTGCCTACGAAGGAGGCGGGGGGACATGCACCTCACCATCCCACTTCTCGTGGCCAGACATCGTCCTGGCAACGGTCGCAGTCCCTGGGCCAGAGAAGGAAGAGGGATCGTGGGCACATGCCTCCTGCAAAGACCACTGACCAGCTGACTCCACAATCGCTCCCTGATGCAGAAGCCTGGGGGAGGCCCGTCGACTCCTGCCCACCCTGGGCAGCCAAGTCCGGGCCAGAACTGCTCACCAGTGCTGTAGAGATCGCAGCCGCACTCTGGCATCGGTGAGAGGCGTCCAGCCCCGCTGTGCTCCTCTTGCTCCCTCAGACTCCTGCAGATCTGGATTCAAGGCAGCAGACTGTCTTCCTCCTGGCACCACAGAGACCCCATCCTGCCCACCGGCTGCCCCAGTGGCTTTTCTGGAGCCTCTGGGCCTTTCAGGCTCAGGGGAGGAGCCATCTTCATGGTCCTTCATGTCACCATGGTCAGTGGAGTGGCCTCCTCTTTGCCCAATGAGGCTGTAGCATGGTCCTCAGTGGCTCCCACCCTGGAAGACCCTCTGGCCCTTCAGCAATTGCTGCAGAGTTATCCCCAGACTGGGCATGCAAAGCCAGGAGGTACAGGATGAGGCTGACCCTATGGTGGACATTTCAGCCCCCTCCGGTGTGCCAGGTACGACCAGAACTGTATTGCAGACTCCAGCATCTCTGCAGCCCACTGCTCCAAAGAACTAAACATGCGGCTTTGTTTCTGCTGGGGATTGAGTACAGTCCTACCCACCCACAGCCGGACTCCCGTGTGGATGGCCCACCAGGGGACCAGGGACCCTCACCCAAGAACAGGGAGGCAAATGCCAGACTTGCATGGCTGATAGGTCTATTTAGCAGGCAGGGTTGCAACGGTGCATCGCAAATCAGCGGGCTCTACTCAGCAGGTGGCCTCCAATGCATGCGCCTCGCTTACGTTTGCGGAACTTTTCCCGTTGGAGTCCGAGACCGAATTTCCGCATTAGCGGGAGAAGGGAGGCTCGTGTCCAGGCATTGACGGGCTGCACTGGATGCCGATGTGGCCAGTGGGGTCAGGGCGCCAGGCACCGCCGCGAGACGCAGCTCCTTGTTGCGGGTTGGTGTGTAGTGTCACGTTCTCTGCAGACCAAGCCCTGAGTTTGGAGCTTGCCTAGCTGGGGCCTCGTCCCAGATCCGGCGCGTCGGTAACTAGCCTTATCGATGGCTGTGGCCACGCGAAGGGAGCCTCAGCACAGATTTCCAGACAGCATAACCCCCAGGCCGGTGTCTCGGACCTGACCATGTCTAAGGTGTCCCTGGTGGGCGGAAGATGGACGCTAGCCCGCGCTGTAGTGGTCTGAGCCGGAGCCTGGCGAACCGCACCACGTCCGTACATGCACACGTAGCCTGGAAGTTTCAGATGGCTCCTTGCCACCACAGTGAGGAACTGGTGGGGAACAGCAGTTCTGAGACAGTACGTAAATCAAGCCCCCAGCCCTGCCACTTCTGCCCATGCCCCACCTCCACAGGAGCCAAGCCCTCGCTCCCAGTACCATGGGGAGGTGGGGTCGTGCTGCCTCCACCCCCAGGAATATCTCACAGCTCCCTTTGGCTGGTTTCTGGCCAATGGGAGCTGCCTGTTTGCAGGAAAGGCAACACCCGAAGTACCCCTCCAAGCTTGCAGTGTTCAGAGCAACACCATGGCCCCTGCAAGTGGGGCAGGAGAGGCAGGGAGCCTGGCTGAGGAACTAGCTGGGCTGCTGGCTGGGAACCACCCAGGTAAGTATCTTGCCAGAGCCTGCCTCTAGCACCCCAGCCCCTCACTTCCCCCCCAACCCTCTTCCCGAATCCCAACACCCATATCCCCTCCTAGGTACTGCCCTCCCTCCTACACCCCTTCTCCAGCTCCCAAACCCTTCCCAGACCTTGCATCCCTTACGCCTAGTCTCAACCTAGATCCCTGGACTCCTGCCCTTGGTCACAACCCTCTCCCAGCCCCTGCACCCCTTCTCCAGGCCACAATCCTCTCTTGCACCCACCCACCCCCATCCCAGTCTCCTGCTCCAAGTCACAACCTCCTTCACCCAAACTCCCTCTCAGATCCCACCCCCC